TCATGTGTGACAAAGTTGTTTTCCGAAGTATCATTTTCGAGAAATAATTATAAACGCCTCTATACGCACACCATCCGTGCTTGTTTACGCGGCGCGCACGTAGCAATTTTTCACGCAGCACGTTCTGCTCGCATTTTTGTATTTAACAAGGGATAACGATGAAAGCAAATCTATTTCCGCAATATTCTGCGGATGTATAACTACGAATCGTTTATCTCGCGTACGGCTAGACAACGTTTACGAAGCAAAGTTTGAATGTTGTGGGGTCAAGTCAAATCGGTGTAAATAACTTATTGCGGAAACAGTGTGTTTACGTCTAATCACAGAAATATTTTCGTTCGAGTAGTTACCCTGTTAAAAAAAATCGATAGAAAACGATAAGAACTGATATAGGATTTGACAAATATTTTATCGTGTCCTATCGTATCTATCGTTCCACTTTCTCTGTTCCGAAAGAAATTGATATCGTTTCCTATTGTTTTCTATCATTAGCTGATAAAAACAATTTTAATCGTTGAAATATCGATAGAATGTCTACAGTAACTTATCGTTTTGATAAAATTTATTATAAATAATTAAAATATTATTCTAATGAATTGTTCATACACGTTAATTTCTTTATGGTTCACAACTACGATTAAAAATTATATCGGTTTTATCGTTTTCTATCTATTTTTAACCGGATAGAACGCAATAAGCAGTTAAAAATAGATTTAATAAATAGATATTTTTAATAGATATTTTTAATTAGATTTAATAAATAGATATTTTTAACAGGGTAGAACGCAATAAGCAGTTAAAAATAGATAGAAAACGATAAAACCAATATAATTTTTAATCGTAGTTATGAACCATAAAAAATTAACATGTATGAACAATTCATTAGGATAACATTTTAATTATTTATGATCAATTTTATCAAAACGATAAGTTACTGTAGACATTCTATTGATATTTCAACGATTAAAATTGTTTTTATCAGCTAATGATAGAAAACAATAGGAAATGATAACAATTTCTTTTGGAACAGAGAAAGTGGAACGATAGATACGATAGGACACGATAAAATATTTGTCAGATCCAATATTAGTTCTTATTGTTTTTTATCAATTTTTTTTTTAACAAGATAACTACTCGAACAAAAATATTTCTGTGATTAGACGTAAACAGACCGTTTTCGCAGTAGATTTGTTTATATCGATTTAACTTGACACTTATATGCTTCGTAAGCGTTGTTCAGCCGTGCGCGATAAAAACGATTCATAGTTATACATCCGTAGAATATTGCGGAAATAGATTTGTTTTCATCGTTATCTCTTGTTAAATGCAAAAATGCGAACGTGATGCGTGAAGAATTGCTGCGTGCGCGCCGCGTAAACGAGCATGGATGGTGTGCGTATATAGAGGCGTTTATAATTATTTCTCAAAAATAATACTTCAGAAAACAACTTTGTCACACATGGTTGAATTCGTATTAAAATAACCTTTAATTTAGTAAAAAAAAAATTCAAAAAATTTAAAAAAATTTTTGGTGGTAGAGGTAAACAAAAAATTAAGCAACAAAAAAATTATTTTTAATTATAATTATAAAGTACTCTTAAAGCCATTTAACTTTTATTCGGAACATTTTTTTCTATCTCCTAGTTTCGACGATATTCGCATTGAAATAAAAAAACCGATTTTTTTCCAAGGGGTGTTTCACCCCTTAAAAGTGCGAAGCGGCACGAATTTGCGGTAGCTTAATTTTTTATTTTGTCTAGAGAATAACATATCAAAAGCTCATCGAAATCGGAGGGGGACACTTGGGTCCCTTTCCTTGTAAATATCGTGAACGCCCGTCCCGTCATTCAAAGTGTGTCGGATTTGTAGAATCCCCGCGTATTGTGACGTGTCTTACTGTCGTAAAAATATTCGGTTCCATCAATCGCGTGTATCGAATTCCGTGACTTTTCGCGTACCGCGTTTCGTTGTACACCGTGGCCACGCGGGCCACGCGAGACCGCGCGCCTGTCATCGCGAGAATCGTCGTCTATTGCGGGGGTACCGTGTGGGGAATCCGCATTGCACCGGGAAGTCTCACCGAGTGGTAATTACGACCGAGGAGACGTAATCGAGCGAAGGAAAACTATCATACGTCCGCGAGGAGCAAGCTTGGACTCTCGACCTCGTGCCGAAGGCACTATTTGCGTGCCGCGGAGTGATACACGCGAGGCGTGACGCGGCGCCGCCGAAAAGTGCCGCGAGATCCTTCCGAAATTCGCTCGATTTCCGTCGATCTGGGACCCTCTTCCGACACAGCGTCCCAGAGCCTGACCGCGAAGATTCGCGAACCCGCGTATTCATCCTGGCGTGACGTTAATCCTCCAAGAATCGGCGCCGTAATACCCGTCACCTCCGGGCGCCTCGTGCGCTCGCGTGTCGCGAAAATAGTAATTAAGTGTAACGATTCGCCTGCGACGAGAAATATATGTTATCTTTTTTGTCAAGAACTTTGGAGCAATTATTTACCATCCTTGACTCTCTCCTCCGCCTGATACCGATAATTACGAACCGCCCCTCTATCATTCTCGGAGCTGGCTAGCTGGTCTTCCGAGCCGTCGTTGTTCGCACATTCCGGATCTTCCGCGAAAATCCGTTGTAAATTTCGAACCTTCGAGCAATTAGTCGGGGATTAGAGATACCCTTAAACTATTGATCGATCAAACGATCTCGAAGAGAGATGTTCGATCGTAATTATATAAAGGTCTCGTTCGAGACGAGTATAACATGTAGTACCGTCGTCCACGCCCACGTGGCGCCACAGTTTTCAGAGGTAACCAATTTTTCTTCTCCCATCTATTCTGCGCTTCTCCACCTCATATAGTTTAAAGCTTGACATGTTATGAAATAAAAATTACTGCGGGTTGGGAAACGCAAAATTATTTCTGGGTGGGAGTCTCGTCTCGAACGAGACCTTTTATATAATTACGATCGAACATCTCTC